CTGGGAAGAGGGAGTGGAGTAGAGAGCTTTCAAAGCTGCCACAAACGGGCCACTAAAACCAAATCTCTCTAAGACAAGAAACATAAAAGGCCAACTTAATCAGTCAAATGCTTTTTGGGCGTCCAAGCTCAACAAAAGAGCGGGTTTTTGGGGACATGGACTTGTTGACGAGATCAATCAAGTCAATAGTCCTCCTAGTGTTATCTGCTGCGTGTCTAGCTGGGTAAAAGCCCACCCAGTCTCTGTGTATAACTTTGGAGATACACTTGGCCAATCTGTTGGCCTGTATTTTCATGAAAATTTTGTAGTCAGAGTTTAATAAAACTATGGGACGATAATTATCTGGAAGAGAAATGGTCTTTATCTGGATCACAGAAATATATGAATGGGTAAAAGTCATTGTGTGGGGGAGACCCCTTCAGGAGATCCAGAAACAAAATTTAGAAGATGAGGGCTAGGATGCCAATAAAAGATTTGTAGTACGAGTAGGGACTTGTAGGTGGGGAGATGTTTAACAACATCCAGTAGTTCTTTGATGGAAATCTCCGCATTCAGAGCCGAAAGATCGGAGGGTGATAAATGTGGAAAAGGTAAGGAGTCAAAAAAAGGCATCAAAAGTCGTCATCTGAAGGGGAGGATGAATATCAGGGTCCAGGCAGTTATAAAGCTTCTCTCATAGTATTCCCCAAATATGATAGCCATAACATGCAGGTCATATGTGGGTTTGCCATCATACTGAAGTAAATGGCCCGGTAAGGAAGGGGAATGATAACTTACTTTCAGCTTCATATCCAAGCTCATTCCTACCCACAAGCAAGGGCTTAAGGACCCCATCAGCCCTTTAACAATGATGTAGAGCAAAATCCATTTCCACTTCCTCCGGAGATGACATTTTGCATGTTTTTACTAATTTTATGGTTTAACATGTGTTCCATAAAAATTTACTTTAAGCAGTGTTAGCTGTTAAAAATTTAACAATTTGTGTATGTACTGTGCATCCAGAGAGTATTCACAGCGCTTAACTTTTGCCACATTTTGTTATGTTACAGCCTTATTCCAAAATGGATTAAATTCATTTTTCTTCCTCAACATTCTACAAACAATACCCCATAATGACAACGTGAAATAAGTTTGTTTTGAAATCTTTTGCAATTTATTAAAAATAAAAAACGAAAAAAAAAAAAAAAACATGTACATAAGTATTCACAGCTTTTGCTCAATACTTTGTTGAAGCACCTTTAGCACCAATTACAGCCACAAGTCGTTTTGAGTTTGATGCTACCAGCTTGGCACACCTATTTTTGGGCAATTTCTCCCATTCTCTTCTTTTCAGTACCTCTCAAGCTCCATCAGGTTGGATGGTGAGTGTCAGTGCACAGCCATTTTCAGATCTCTCCAGAGATGTTCAATCGGGTTCAAGTCTGGGCTCTAGCTGGGCCACTCCAGGACATTCACAGAGTTGGCCCATAGCTACTCTTTTGTTATGTGGGTTGTGTGCTTATGGTTGTTCTGTTTTTTTAAGAGTGACCATTGGGTGCTTGGTTACCTCCCTGGCTAAGGCCCTTCTCCCTCGATCACTCATTTTGGCTAGGCGGCCTGCTGTAGGAAGATTCCTGGTGGTTCCAATCTTCTTCCATTTACGGATCATGGAGGCCATTGTGCTCATTGGGACCTTCAATGCTGCAGAAATTTTTCTGCTCCATTCTCCAGATCTGTGCCTTGATACAATCCTGTCTTGGAGGTCTACGGACAATTCCTTGGACTTCATGGCTTGGTTTGTGCTCTGACATTCATTGCTAACTGTGGGACAGGTTTATGCCTTTCCTAGTTATGTCCAATCAACTGAATTTCCACAGGTGGATTCCAATCAAGTTGTGGAAACATCTCAAGGATGATCAGTAGAAACAGGATGCGCCAGAGCTCAATTTTGAGTGTCATGGCAAAGGCTGTGAATACTTATGTACATGTGTTTTTTTTTTCAAAACGAACCACTTTCACGTTGTCATTATGGGGTATTGTTTGAAGAATATTGAGGAAAAAATTAATTTAATCCATTTTGGAATAAGGCTGTAACATAACAAAATGTGTCAACAGTTAGGCGCTGTGAATACTTTGTGGATGCACTGTGTTACTGTCAGGAATGGACTGGCCAGCAATAGTGGGACTCAGCTGCCTTATGAGCTGCAGTACCAGGGCTGGCCAGCGGGTGCTCCCAGCAATCAGAGACTCAACCTTGCAGCCAGTCAAACACCTGGAACTAATTATACTGGTGTATTTAAGGGACATTCAGACCTGCAGACTCTGCCTTGGTGTTGTGTTTCTCTTGGGCCCTGTATCCTGTTCCTGCTCTCTGTTCCTGTCTGATTCTCTGCTGACCCTGCTCTGATCCCTGGCTTGTCTGACCATTCTCCTCACCCTGACCCTCTGTACCACGCTGCCCCCGCTACCTGCTGAACCTGGCCTGTGACCCCGACCATTCTCCGCTTCCTCCCCCTGTACCTACCTGCCCGACTGATATTGACCCGGCCTGCCTGATGACGCTTGCATTGTATGTACTGTTATCTGTGGGTGGTTGTTTGGTTTGTTTGCACTGTGTTATGTTTTAGTATTGCACTGCGTTTATGTTTGTATGGTTAGTGTTAATAAATTACATTGTTTATAACATATCTGAAGTCTGCGTTTCCCTGCGTCAGTCACACACCTCTGGTCATACCCGGGAGCCCTGACATTACACCAAGGCCAATCCTGACCAGAAGTGGCTGCACAGGGAAGCCATCTTGGCTTGTTGATGGGAAGGATGGATCTGGATGAGGTTGTGTATTTATATCTGCTAGTGTTTGATGACAGGGAGTATGCTTATCAAACTCTGAAGGAGAACACCCCCTTGGGATGAACTGCTAGAAATGTATACGGCTCGCTCATGTTCTAGTAGATCAGGGCACAGAGTTCTCTGAGGTGCAGCCTTTGATTGAGGTTTTTGTGCTGAGTTGGTTTCATCTGGTACCCGAATGCAGGGATGAATTTTTGCCACCATTTAGTGCAGACCAGGTAGAGTCCCAGGTGTGGTTATTAGAGGATGATGTGGGTTACTTTCTGGAGCGTTATTCCACATGTTCACCACAGACACTAAGAGATTGTATAAACGCAGTGCAGTCATTGACCAGACAGGCTTTGTGTAAGCTCAGCTTTGTTCAACCCATACTGCAGACATGGACAGACTTGTTGCACCCAGCCTCAGTCAGCTTACAAAAACCCAGTCCTGCTTCTAATCTATTTCCTCAAAACTCTATTCCTGCATTCCCAACAGCTCCTCCTTCCCTGCTATCTACCGCATGTAAGTACCCTGTTCCCACTCGCTGCACCTATCCTGCCTTTAACCCTGTAAAAAAGCCCTCTGTAGCAACTGCTCCCTCCCCTGTTCCATCCTCCAGCTCTTTTCTGTTTCCAGCTGCTCCATTCGTTTGCAGACCTGCGTTTACTTGCAGTGCTCCAGTAGTTAAAAACCAGAAAAAAAGCGAAAATTCTTTCCAACCAATACCATCCTGCCAGTATCCAAACCGGTGAACCTGCCTTCCGTGGTTCAGCCTGAAGCCCTCTACTCAGCCTGAATCCTCTACTCAGCCTGATGCCTGTACTCAGCCTGATGCCTGTACGCAGCCTGATGCCTCTACTCGGCCTGATGCCTGTACGCAGCCTGATGCCTCTACTCGGCCTGATGCCTCTACTCGGCCTGAAGCCTCTACTCGGCCTGATGCCTCTACTCGGCCTGAAGCCTCTACTCGGCCTGATGCCTCTACTCGGCCTGATGCTCTCTACTCGGCCTGAAGCCTCTACTCGGCCTGACAGTACCCCCCCCCCCTCGGCCTCAGGACGCTCCATGTCATAGCTGGGCCAAAAGTGTTCCCAGCCGCCCCGGTCTGGTAACTGGCGGGATATCAAAGACTGGCTACACCGGGCAGTGACTCGATGCCGGCAGCGGCACTACGTGATCTGGGCAGATGACTCCGGTGGCAGAGGCACATCGGGCTGGACTCAGACTCCGGGTAGAGGCACATCGGGCCTGGACTCCGGGCAGAGGCACATCGGCTGGACTCCGGGCAGAGGCACTCCGGGCAGGTCGGCACACCGGGCAGAGGCAACATCGGTGCTGGATTGCCGGGCAGAGGCACATCGGTGCCCGCTGTAAGGGCACATGGGCTGGACTCCGGGCAGAGGCACATCGGGCTGACTCCGGGCAGACGCACATGGGCAGAGGACCCCCGGGCAGAGGCCATCGGGCCAGGACTCCGGTCAGGACTCTGGGCAGAGACACATGCGGGCTGTGACTCCGGGCAGAGCCACATCGGGCTAGCACACGGGCAGGGTGACAGATGCACACGCTGTCGAGCCAGACTCCAATGTCTGAGACCCATCGGGCAGGACTCTGGGCAGAGGCCACATTGGGCAGCCCACTTATCCCGTGGCCAATGAGGCACATCGGTGCTCTGGACTCCGGGTAATACAGAGGCACACCGGGCAGAGACACACCGGGCAGAGGCACATCGGGCCAGTCCCGCTGTCAGCTGCATGGGCAGAGGCACATGGGGCAGAGGCCCACCGGCCAGAGGCACATCGGGCAGAGGCACCCGGGCAGAGGCACATCTCGGCAGAGGCCCACCGGGCAGAGGCACACCGGGCTGGACTCCGTGCAGAGGCACATCGGGCAGGACTCCAGGGCAGAGGCACATCGCCAGAGGAGCAGCAGGTGCCCAATCCGTCTGAGCCCCCGGGCGGAGCAGCAGGCACCGGGCCCCCGGGCGGGGCAACAGGCACCGGGCCCCCGCGGGCGGGCCCAAATTCCTGCATCGGGTCCCCCAGGCGGGGCGACCGGCATCGGGCCCCCAGGCGGGGCGACAGGCGTCGGCCCTCCATGCGGGGCGACAGGCATCGGCCCCCAGGCGGGGTGACAGGCATCGGGCCCCAGGCGGGGCGACAGGCATCGGGCCCCCGCCTGGGGGCGACAGGCATCGGGCCCCCCTGGGGAGCGGCGGGCCCGTCGACCCCCTTGGGGGAGCGTCAGGCATTGGGCCCTCCAGCGGAGCCCTGGGGGCGCCGGACCCCCAGGCGGAGCGACAGGTCTCGGGCCCCCTCAGGGGAGCGGCGGGCCGCCGGACCCCCAGGTGGAGCGACAGGTCTCGGGCCCTCAGGCGGAGCGGCGGGCGCCGACCCCCAGGTGGAGCGACAGGTCTCGGCCCTCAGGCGGAGCCGGCGGGCGCCGGACCCCTGGGGGGAAGTGGACAGGTCTCGGGCCCTCAGGGGGTTTAGCGGGCGCCCGTCGCCGGACCCCCAGGCGGAGCGACAGGTCCTCGGGCCCCCCGCCCGAAGGGCCGGGACCGAGCTCACCAGCACGACAGTGGGCTCCGAGTCAACTGGCATGACCCGCTGGCACTGGGGGTCAGAAATTGGATCGTCCTGGCTGGACAGGGGCATCGGGTCACCAGGCATCAGGTCATTTGGCTCGACAGCGGGCACCGCGTCATCGCCGCTGGGGTCTAACAGTGGGCTCCGAGTCAACTGGTATGACCGCGGGGGGGTCAGACATTGGATCGTCCTGACTGGACAGGGGGCCCGGGATCACCAGTCAAGTCATTTGGGGCCGACAGCGAGCACCGCGTCGCTCTGGCGCAGGGCAGTGGGCTCCGAGTCAACTGGCATGACCGCCCGGGCACTGGGGCAGACATTGAATCGTCTGCTGGACATGCGGGCATCGGGTCCCAGGCATCAGGTCATTTGGCTCGACAGCGGGCACCGTGTCCGATATCTGGCAAGGCAGTGGGCTCCGAGTCAACAGGCACGACAGTGGGCACCGGGTCATCAGGTACCGGATTGTCTGGCTCGACAGCGGGCATCGGGTCACCAGGTATGACAGCGGGCCTGGGTCACCAGGTCATCAGGTCATGTGGCTCGACAGCGGGCACGCGCCCATCTGGCAAGGCAGTGGGCTCCGAGTGCAACTGGTATGACTGCCCCGGCACTGGGTCAGACATTGGATATCTGACTGGACAGCGGGCATCGGGGGTCACCAGGCATTGGATCGTCTGCTCGAGATCAGCGGGCATCGGCCTCACCAGGTATGACCAGCGGCCCTGGGTCACCAGGCATCTGTGTCATTTGGCTCGCCAGCGGGCACCGCGTCATCTGACCGGCAGTGGGCACCGATCATCTGCAGGTACGACCAGCCAGCTCTGAGTCAATGTGCACGACAGCGGGCGGTCCGGATCCAGTACCGGATCATCTGATCAACAGCGGGCATCGAGTCAACTGGCCTATGTGATCGTCAGGCTGGATCAGTTCATCATGCTGGGTAGAGGCCAGGCTGAATGCCGGCATCCGGCTGAGTAGAGGCTTCCGGCTGAGTAGCCTTTCAAGCTGAGTTAGAGGCTCCCTGGCTGAGTAGAGGCATCAGGCTGAGGCTGGAACTTTAGGTCGAGTAGAGGCTTCAGGCTGAAGAGAGGCATCAGGCTGCGTACAGGCATCAGGCCGAGTAGGGCTTACTGTCAGGTATGGACTGCCAGCAATAGTGGGACTCAGCTGCCTTATGAGCTGCAGTACCAGGGCTGGCCAGCGGGTGCTCCCAGCAATCAGAGACTCAACCTTGCAGCCAGTCAAACACCTGGAACTAATTATACTGGTGTATTTAAGGGACATTCAGACTTGCAGACTCTGCCTTGGTGTTGTGTATCCTGTTCCTGCTCTCTGTTGTTTCCTGTCTGATTCTCTGCTGACCCTGCTCTGATCCCTGGCTTGTCTGACCATTCTCCTCTGCCTGACCCTCTGTACCACGCTGCCCGCTACCTGCTGAACCTGGACTGTGACCCCGACCATTCTCCGCTTGCTCCCCCTGTACCTACCTGCCCCGACTGATATTGACCCGGCCTGCCTGACGACGCTTGCATTGTATGCACTGTTATCTGTGGGTGGTTGTTTGGTTTGGTTGCACTGTGTTATGTTTTAGTATTGCACTGCGTTTATGTTTGTATGGTTAGTGTTAATAAATTACATTGTTTATAACATATCTGAAGTCTGCGTTTCCCTGCGTCAGTCACACACCCTCTGGTCATACCCGGGAGCCCTGACATTACACCAAGGCCAATCCTGACCAGAAGTGGCTGCATTTCAATTTACTCCCTAGGTGAAGATGAATGCAATTTGTTAACAATTTACATTTATACACTTTTTTTTAAATGTACATTTATACACTACTTTTTTTTAAAAACTTACATTTAACATTGTGACTGCTTTTAATTAGAATTCACTTGCTAGCACAATACAAGTGGAAAGGGCTTAAGGGAGCTTTCAGACAGAGCCACTCTGCTATATTCTTTGCACAGATCTCCTGCTGAATCAGAGATGAATGGGATGGATGTCATTTTTTTTTTACATCCATCCCCTTTCTATCTGGTGAATGTGGGCAGACCAATGATAGCTCTATGGGTGGCCAGATGTAAACAAACTTGTGTCTGCTTACACCTGGCTATCTCCAATCCATCACATTTAGATCCAGAAAAATTAAAAAGCATGCAGTCCCTTTACACTTTTATTTTTTGGACCTGGATGGACTCAGAGGTAGGCTGGTGTAAATGGAAACACGTCTGTTACATCAGCTTTCCTATGCATGAAGCTACCAACCAGGTCTGCCTGAAAAATGGGCCTGATCAGAGAGCACATGTGAAAGTGCCCTTGGGTTCTCTGATCTCAGGTTCCCATTTCCTTTGAATTCTAGGCCAGTTACTATTATAAATATAGTATACTCTTGCAGCTTAGGATTTAAGAAAATAAAAAGACAACTAAATATATTATCTACACTTGAATATTGCAACACGGATGTAAAAAACATGTACAAGATTCAAAGCACTGGTTTGAAATGCAGTTTATTTATAGTTTTATAGGCCTACACATTTTCTCTGTAGAAAAGGGATACATTCTGGAAAAAGATTTCCCCTTTTGATAAAGATTTTTGAGTCCAATGGATTTGAGTAGATCCCATTTGTATTTTGTGACTCTGAACTTCAACATGGTGACTTTCTCTGCCATTCTTTTAAAAGTTTGGGAACATTGTTAGGTGAAATTGGAAGAAATGTGACCTATAACCTAAATTAATCAAATTGCCATTGCTATATATAAGAACCATTATTTGTAAAAGAGAAAAATCAATTCCAGAGCTAAATATGTACGACCAGATCACTGTGTTTCTGAGGCTGTAAGTAAAAAATCACATTGCTCTGTAACAATTAAACCTTAATGCCCAGACCCTATTTTGCAACTTTGACCTGTGTTAGGTAAAACTTTACTTTACTTTACATATGATCACAACTACTTTGTGTATCTAGGTGGATTATACTTTGGCTTTCATTTGGTGCATTTTCCTTTTTTGTATTCTATCTAAAACACACTGACACTAACTGATACTGATACTAGTTTTAATAATGCAGCTTTTTAAAAATTCCCTACCTAAAAATATGCTGACCATGACCATTTACCCTGACCTTTGACCCTGAAATTGACCTTTAACCTTTACTTTTTTCCTAACATTAATCCTGACACTGATTTATATCAAACCTCGATCTAGCTATTTTTTCTTAATTTTTTTCTTTTTTTTTTAAATATTTTTTATACTCTTTTGTTTGTTTACATCTTTCTCTCCTGAAATAAATGTATCTTTTTCTCCATTCAGAAGAGAAAGAAAACATATAGGTGGCCTGTACAGTGACTGATCACTATGATAGCCAATCAGAAGCTATCACAGCGTTCAGGTGACTGAGAATCGGGAGTTTCACCTAACCCTCAACAAATTGGACTGAATCAGATTAGTTATCCCATGAAACGTCATCCATATCAAGTATCCCGCACGTCACCAGCTTCACATTCGTTCCAGGTCAGCGAGGCAGTAAGCAGGATAACTGCATTGGAGCTTGCACATTTATTAACAAGTCAGAAATAGCAGTTCCCATGTGTATATGCTGATGGGTTTCCTCTAGTGTCTTGTTATAAATAAATACATCAAGTGCAAAACAGAGTTCTATCTGAATATTCCCAATTCACAGTTTAAAGTTCAGATCATGCACTTGCAGTCAAAATGAAGTCCTCTGTCTACGTTTTTGGAATATCAAATGTCAATCTGATGTAGTTTGAAAATTTAGACATTTACTGTAGATAATGTAGTTATGTATATCCAGAAGCAACTGCTAAAAATTTTTTAAACATACCTGTAGATGAATGCCTCTAGCTAAAGATTTTAAAATAGCGCTTCGTCTCTTATGGCCAGTAAGGAAGGAAAAAGTATAACTCCTAAAATGTAAGCAACTAATTGATTTTGAGAGACAAAATATTTTATTGGTAATTAGTTATAATAGAACTGGTCAAAGTTTGGTTCATAGGAGTTTTCAGCAAGCCCATTAACCACTTGCTGCCCCACAACAGTACATTTACTGCTGCAGGGCAGCATGTGCAGACTTAGTCACTTATATATACAGTATCAAGAGAAGGAAGAAAAAGAAACAAAAAGAAAAGGCGAGGAGAAAAAGAAAAAAAAACTCACATAGAACAAAAAATAGTGGGATTTTAAAGGTGCCAGACAATAATAGAACGACAAAAGCTAAAATTTATAATGTTTATTGTTGAATCAATATTAAAAAATGTCCATTAAAAGAGATACATATTTAGTTGCACTTGTTCAAAGAAATGTTTTCGGTGTAATATTTCTCAACATGTTTCTCCTATTTCAGGCTTCTTCAGGAGACATTTATATAACACCTACAACAACAGATTCATGTTGATTACAAAAAAACTATAAAACTTCATCAGCATACACTGAGATTTAACAAAATATCCAATGACAAGAGAAAAATAACCTGAGGATTAAATGAGAGGAGAATGTAGCGCTATTTTTCTCCTCTCCTTTTCTTTTTGTTTCTTTTTCTTCCTTCTCTTGATATTTATCAAATTTTGGGATGTGTTGCCATTGAGCTCTTCTATGAATATCACTATTCTTGTATATATACAGTATATGATTGAGCTTGCACCTGTTTAAGAGCACGCAAATGCACCCCTCCTGTGGGCACTGTGTTCAGAGGACCTAGATGATTACTGTTATGGGTATCATGTGATCACTATAGTTGGTCTTATTTATCACATGATAACAATTTAAACAATCTGTCATGAATAGGGTTTTATTCATGAACTGCTTGCTTACTGTTGTGATCTGTGACTGACCCACAGCAATCACATGGTATCTGGCTACCTGTACTATGTGATTAGCTGAGCCAATCACAGCCAAAAGCAAGCTGTTCATAATTGGGAAACGCACTCACGACAGCTAAAGCTACAGTGATCTTCACTGTGAAAACAATATCAGTGTTTAAAAAATTCCTGATCCCCCACACAGAGTAGTACAATGTCACTATGGTGACACTGAGCTTCTCTGATGAAAGTGTATAAAAAAGATCATTTGAAAAAAAGATTAAAAGTTAAAATAAAATGTAAAAAAATGAATAAAAAAGTATTATTATTTTTTTTTAACATAGTGTCATCAGTCAGTATATCTGATCACTGCTACACTAGTCATATGATGATGCTGTACTGCACTGGTACAGAGTTTTGAAAATTCTGTGAAATTCTTTTGAATGAGTAAGGGGTACACAGTGGATAGTGTCAGTCATATTATCCAGAGATGTAAATCCAATGCAATCAACATATAAATAGTAAGTAAACACATTAACACCTTAGAAAGTCCTTTATTAAAAAATATTGATTAAGAAATGATTGTGATATATAGGATTCTTGATGGCTTGTTTACAATTTCAAGCAGACAGCAGCAGGAATCTGCCATTTAGAGGTGGTAGTGATACTGCCAGTAAATTACGGACTTCAGCTACATTCAGGCCTCATTCACTGAACTGTCTATAGGTTGGGTTCCGGTCAAGCTCATGCCTACTGATGTTGAGATTTAGTATTTATATGTACATACACAGTATAAACACAGATAAAACAGATGGAATTAATTAATTATATAAAAAATGTTTCACATCTAAATGTAAAATACACCACTCATCAACTTATAATAAATTCATTGTTGCCTGTTCCAATTTAGGAAGATGACATATCTAAATGCAAAACTTATGTGAAATAAAAGTGATTTCACACAGCATACATGAGAAAAGAAAATTGCCACAAAATTGCCTTCTTGCAAGTATAAAACATTGATACAAAATCAAGGCATGAAGTCAAAAACTAGCACATTGTGTATCGGGATAAAATATCATAGGGCAGCCATCCATAGCTCAATCAGACATTTATGGATTAACAGTCATGAGCACTTTTGAAGAGCTATGAATTTTAAGTCTTCAGCTAAGTGACCAAGACCTGAATGTCTAAGACTCTCCACACACAGTAAATTAATCATTAATGTTTGTTCTAGAAAAATAATGGACTGGAATAGATCATAGTATAAGTAAGAAAAGGTGGACAGGCTAACATACACACTAAAGGCTGGGGCTACTCCTACAGCCCAATGCCAGGTAAAACTATTTTAAATAATACTTTGGATAGAGGGAAAATTGAGGAGATTTTG